GTGCTCCTGGACAGCAGCATCCCCCTGCTGCTGCTGATGGAGATGATGAAGATGATGATGGAGAACCTGCTCAGGTGGGGGTCCCGGGGGGGGTCAGGGTCCTTCCCACCTGCCCTGTGCCTCAGTTTCCCCCAAGCTGAGGGGTCACACCGTCCCTCCAGGTACATGGTGGCCACTCTGGAGGGGATGGTGGCCAACCAGTACGTCCTGGTGTGCCTGAGCTGGGGGGCAACGTGGGGGCAGATCCCCCCCCTTGGGCTGGATGAGATGGTGCTACCAGTGGATCGGCGGTGAGCGTGCCAGGCCTCACCATGAGTGTGCCAGGGCTCACCGTGAGCGTGCCAGGGGGGTGGGATGGGGGTGTTGGGGGGCACTGGGATCCCAGTGAGCCCTGGAGCATCCGGAAGGGTCTCCAAGCTGTGATCATCGTCCACCCCCCGCTCTCCTGGCCCTTCCTTGCTCACACGCGCGTGCGAGGCCTCGCACGGGGAAGTTCACCTCCTCCCGTGGTGGAGCCTGGTGAACCAGCTCCTGGGGCTGCTTTTCTCTCCTCGCAGGCTGGAGGTGACAGCGGGGACAACACAGGGTGACACAGGGTGGCATCGGGGGCTCTCCCTGCCCAGGACGTGGATGGGGTGGGGGGGGCAGGGGGATTTGGCTCGGTTTCTGGTGAATTTGGCGAAGGGGAGCGCTCTGCCGCCCGGCCGTGATGCCCAGCACGTGCTATTTCATATTTAATCCCGGCGCTATTTAAACTATATACACCCGCGCCCGAATTCGGGAGCCCGAGCCCTTCCTCCTCCTCCTCTTCCTCATGGGGGGGGCAGGGGGATTTGGCTCGGTTTCTGGTGAATTTGGCGAAGGGGAGCGCTCTGCCGCCCGGCCGTGATGCCCAGCACGTGCTATTTCATATTTAATCCCGGCGCTATTTAAACTATATACACCCGCGCCCGAATTCGGGAGCCCGAGCCCTTCCTCCTCCTCCTCCTCCTCCTCGCCTCGGGCCCCGTCCTGCCTCGGCCGGTGCCGGTGACACCCCGGTGGCGAGCCCAGGGCGGAGGTGACCCCCACCACGGTTCCCCAGGGTGGCGGAGGCTGCCTAATTGTGTTTTTTTGAGCTTTTTTGAGCGGCCGGTGCCGGTGACACCCCGGTGGCGAGCCCGGGGCGGAGGTGACCCCCACCACAGTCCCCCAGGGTGGCAGAGGCTGCCTAATTGTGGTTTTTTGAGCTTTTTTTCTTTTTTTTTTTTTAGAAAAACAAAAAATATCCTAAAAAATAGAAGGAAGGCAGGGGTCTGTGGCAGTGGAGATGCCGCGGGAGGCCCCCCCGGGCTCGCCGGTGGCGTCGGCGCGGAGCCGCTGCCGGTGAGACACTGAAGCGTCGGGGTTTAATCCCGGTTTTTGCACCAAAGCGTTGGGGTTTAATCCCAGTTTTGCTCTTCTAACGCCTTCCCGAGAGGGCACCCAAAACGGCCTCGGCACCGGCCTCGGCACCGGCCTCGTCGCCATCCCCCCGGGGGGGGGAAACCGAGGCACCGCGACCCACCGGCACCGAGGGGCCCATGGGAGACGCCGGTGTGGAAAAAAAGGGAAAACCAGGAGGATTTGGCACATCTCGGCTCCTGGGGAGGGTCGGGAGAGCGGCCGTGTCCTTTCGGCTGAAATCCCGGGGGGGCAGGAGGTGGGGGGTGCTGTGTCCCCCCCACACACCCCGTGTCACCCACCGATGGCTCCGGGGAGGAGGGATGTGCCGGGGGGTGGAGGTGACACGGGACCAAACGCCACCCGGAGCCGGGCTCTGCATAAATTACCGCGGGGTGAAAGCGCTCGAGGTCGGCTTCTCCTCCGGCTGGGGGATCAGGCAGTTCAAGTTTGGGCTGAAAAAGCCAGGAATCTGCAAAATCCAAGAGGGCGGGTTACAGACCTGCGCAAGGTGGTGGCTCGTTTGGGTGTGTTAATTAGTTGTGCTGGCTCGGAGGGGGACCAGGGCTGTCACCGCCGGGTACTCACACGCTACAAGACACGGGAGCTGCTCCACTGTCGCTCCCGACCACCCTTGGACCTCATCTCCTGGACGGCACCGCTCTGCGGGGGGGGTGCAGGGAGGTGTCACCACCGCGGTGAGACCCAGCACCCAACAGTGCCACCTCATCGCCCAGGTGTAAGAGCTGTCACCCAAATATAAGGCCACCTCACCCCACACTGAGAGCCACCACCCAACCATGGGATCCACCACCCCAACAGTGACACCCACCACCCAAACATGAGATCCACCACCCCAACAGAGACAACGAGATCCACCACCCCAACAGTAACACCAATCACCCAACCATGAGACCCAACCACCCCAACAGCGACACCAACCACCCAACCATGGGATCCACCACCCCAACAGCGACACCAATCACCCAAACATGAGACCCAACCACCCCAACAGCAACACCAATCACCCAAATATGAGACCCTACCACCCAACTATGGGATCCACCACCCCAACAGTGACACCCACCACCCAACTATGGGATCCACCACCCCAACCGTGACACCCACCACCCAACCATGAGACCCAACCACCCCAACAGAGACACCAATCACCCAAATATGAGACCCCACCACCCAACTATGGGATCCACCACCCCAACAGTGACACCCACCACCCAACCATGAGACCCAACCACCCCAACAGAGACACCAATCACCCAAACATGAGACTCCACCACCCCAATAGCAATGATCATCACCCAACCATGACACCCACCCCCCAACTGTGAGACCCAACCACCCCAACAGCGACACCAATCACCCAAACATGAGACTCCACCACCCCAATAGCAATGATCATCACCCAACCATGACACCCACCACCCAACTGTGAGACTTAGCACCCCAACATTGACAACCACCACCCAACTGTGAGACCCAACCACCCCAACAGTGACACCCACCACCCAAACATGAGACTCCACCACCCCAACAGCAATGATCATCACCCAACCATGACACCCACCACCCAACCGTGAGACTTAGCACCCCAACATTGACAACCACCACCCAACCGTGAGCCTCACCACCCAACCATGAGCCCCAGCACCCCAACACTGACAACCACCACCCAACCAAACAGTGACACCCACCACCCAAACATGAGACTCCACCACCCCAACAGCAATGATCATCACCCAACCATGACACCCACCACCCAACTGTGAGACTTAGCACCCCAACAGTGACAACCACCACCCAACCATGAGCCCCACCACCCAACCATGAGCCCCACCACCCAACCATGAGACTCCACCACCCCAACAGCAATGATCATCACCCAACCATGACACCCACCACCCAACCGTGAGACCCACCCACCCCAACAGTGACACCTACCACCCAACCATGAGACCCAACCACCCTAACAGTGACACCAATCACCCAAACATGGGACCCAACCACCCTAACAGCGACACCAATCACCCAAACATGAGACTCCACCACCCCAATAGCAATGATCATCACCCAACCATGACACCCACCACCCAACTGTGAGACTTAGCACCCCAACATTGACAACCACCACCCAACTGTGAGACCCAACCACCCCAACAGTGACACCCACCACCCAAACATGAGACTCCACCACCCCAACAGCAATGATCATCACCCAACCATGACACCCACCACCCAACCGTGAGACTTAGCACCCCAACATTGACAACCACCACCCAACCGTGAGCCTCACCACCCAACCATGAGCCCCAGCACCCCAACCGCACGCGTAGGCAGGGTACCATGGGCAGGCCTTCGCCCGCGGCCATGTCGCCAGAGCCGATGTGCGTCAGATGGACGAAGTTCATGGGCTCCCCGATCATGGACCGGTCGATTCGTCTCCTCCTCTTCTTCTGCAAGCAGATGAAGGCCATCAGCCCCCTCTGAGCCCACGGCCTCAGGGTGCCAGACCCTCCCCGACCCTCCCACTGAAGCTACTCACGGGCTGTGGCTTCTCTACGACGCAGCAGCCCAGCTTGTGCCAGAAGTCGCTCATATTGGCGGTGGCGTCCAGCTTCCCTCCCTGCCGGGCTGGCTGCCGGGGGGGCCGCGCCGGTGCAGAGACCCTCGCACGGGGTCACTCCATGGGGACGGATGGGGGGACCTGGTCAGGGTGGCCGAGCTGGTGGGGACACACCTGGGGGGAGGCAGAGGCGGGGAAGGGGAGCGTCATGGCCAGGAAGGGCTTGTCCCCGGGTTTGGGGATGTTGGGGGGCAGGATCAGCCCCCTCCCCATCCCAAGGCTACCCCCAGGTGATGCATCAGATTGGGGAAATCGAGGCACGGCGTGGAGAGGAGTAGTCGGCTGCGGGTTTTGAATGGAGGGGGGCGATGCCTGCAGTCCTGACTCCCCAAATCCACCCTAAATCCACCCTAAATCCACTCCGCATCGACCAAATGGAGACAGAGGCCTCTGAGGGACCCCAGGCATGGCACAGAGACCCCCAAGGGACCCCTGACATGGCACAGGGACCCCCAAGGGACCCCTGACACAGTACAGGGACCCCCCACACGGCACAGAAACCCCCAGGAAACCCCTGGGCATCACACAGAGATGCCCAGGGACCCCCAACATGGCACAGAGACCCCCAAGGGACCCCTGACACGGCACAGGGACCCCCGACACGGCACAGAAACCCCCAGGAAACCCCTGGGCATCACACAGAGATGCCCAGGGACCCCCAACATGGCACAGAGACCCCCAAGGGACCCCTGACATGGCACAGGGACCCCCAAGGGACCCCTGACACAGTACAGGGACCCCCCACACGGCACAGAAACCCCCAGGAAACCCCTGGGCATCACACAGAGATGCCCAGGGACCCCCAACATGGCACAGAGACCCCCAAGGGACCCCTGACACGGCACAGGGACCCCCGACACGGCACAGAAACCCCCAGGAAACCCCTGGGCATCACACAGAGATGCCCAGGGACCCCGGGCATCACACAACCACCCAGGAGAGATGCCCCATGGCCAGGGCAGGATCCGGCCCCGGCCCCCACCCCGGTGCAGGACGCAGCGGAGGGATGCTGCGGCAGGATGGGGGGGGGACACACATGGAGGCAGCCACAGCAAATCCCAACTCCCTGAGCCAGGCAGCTATAAATATCCCGGCCTTTCCGAAAAGGGGCCGGAGATTGAGCTCTTCCGCTCCGGCTCAAAAAGCAGACTGGGGGGGGGAAATAAACAGGGGGTCTGCCCGGCTGGAGGGGCTCTACCCCAAACCCCCACGGCCCCTGAGGGGTGGGCAGGAAAAGCTGGGCAGCCAAAGGGGGTGTGGGAAGGGGAATTCACCCCCAAATTAGTGCTTCCCCCCCTCCAAGGAGAGAGAAATCTTTCGCTGCAAAAGCACCCGGCGGCACGCACAAAACTCACCCGCCCACGGAGGGCCGCGGCCTGAGCACAACCCTATATCAGCCGCCGGAGAGTCCCCACGCCAGCGTTTGGGGGGCGGCCAGGGCCGAGTTTTACCGGAGCGAGCCCCCCCATGCCCCTCACCCTGGTGTTTGGGCCCCAGCCCCCAGCTTCCTCCCCCCCGGCGACCGCGGCTGCTGAGAACGGGCAGGTTGTGACACGTCCGGGGTGGTGTAAACCGGGGCCGTGCCCACACCAGCACCCCCCGGGCCAAAATCAGCCTCCCCCCCGGGCTGCGGACGGACAGACGGACGGACGAAGGAGCGGAGGGGGGGCTGCCTTTTCTTTCTAGCCTGGTTTCCTTAGGAAATGAGGCTGCCGGAGCCGGCCCCCGCCATAACACCCCGGTTCCCTACCGGATCCGGCAGCGCGGCGGAAAGGCCTTGGGGGGGGGGGAAAGCCCCCCAAATTCAGCATCACAACCGGTCCCCAAGGCGCTGGGGGACCTCCATGGGGAGCCCCAGGAGTGGGCTCAGCCTCGTACGAGCCACCAGCAAATCTCCGTGTAAACCC